GTCTGCATCATGCAGATATGTGGGTTATCTCTCCTTCTTTCTAGTCTTGTGAAAATACATACAAAGGATAAAGCCTCAGGTAATACAATTGTCCTTTTAAGCTTAAAGGGTAAATGGATGATCTTGATATTAAAGTGTAGTATTTGGAGCTGCAGATGTCGTCTGTTTGTGATTGTGCCAAAATTCTGTGCAGCCAACCTTTGTGTTTCCAGGGTAATCAAGAGATCGATCACAAATATAAAGGCAAGGATATAGGTAATACGTAAATGAGGCCGTAAGGATCTTCTGTGGAAATGATCAGAGAAAGCCACGACTTGAAGAGGAGACTGCAGCATGAGTGGTGTGCCTCATGTGAGATGATGGCAGTGGGGGATGTCCATGTCTTGCTACACTGCCCATCACATTACAGCTCATGGCTCTGGGTGCTGCCACTGCAAATCTCTGGTCCACCAAACTGAGGCATTTCTGCTTTTCTCGGAAACTTCTCAAACAAGAATTCTTGCAGCCCTCCCTTGTCATATCCTCTGCTCTCTCCTGTACCTGAGGATGGGGTTGGTGACTCCTGTGAGGGATAATTCTTTTTTTTTTATGTGCTCTTCTCTGCTACCAATCAAAACAGAAACAAAAGAAAAAAAGGAAAATAACTGGGAAACATAGGGGTTAATACTGTGAAGTCTGTGGGTGCAAACAGGATTTTGTTAAAAGTGAAATGAGATTGGGTGGAGGTAGATAAAAAGAAATCTGAAATAATTGTTTTGTAGAATATGGCCTTTCCACATAGGCAGAAATCTTTCTCTTCACTTCAGTCTGAAGATAGTCAAAAAGAGAATCTCATCTCTTAATTAGAAAGAAAAATACTCATCAAACACATCTCATCACTGGAAAGCTAATGATTCACAGCTGCTAGTCTGAAAGGGCAGGCTTTTTTTCTGAACAGTAGGAAGCGTTAATCATTTTGGATGAGATTTTCTTTTAAAATATACTGTAGTTTTCAAAAGAATAGGATATTCAATATCCTAACTTAAATTATTTTTTGAAGTGTTGTACACCAGGGATAGTGTCATGTGTCTCCCTGAATGATCATTTAATGCAAGTGTCGCTCACTAAGAGTATCAACTGATGTGATGTTGTAAATGACCGGTTCATGCCTGTGGCTCTGAAAAATCTTGATCTCATGGGGGAGAAGAAAAAGTCCTTTCTTATATTCTTCTGTGTAGGAAATGGCAGCTATATTAAACTGTAACCTTTGAGACTCCCACTCCTCTCTTAAAATAGTTAGCTTGCTTCAGTAGTGATGAGGATCCTTTTTTTAGACAGAGTTAGAGCCATTATTTCCTTAGAAGATATCATACCAGATACAGTCCATGTTCCACTGGATGCTTTATAGGCATGGGCAACCGCAAAACTGTCCCCTTGTGCTTGTTCCTTAGCTTTTCTGGTTTGGGGGGTTTTTTTGGTTAGTTGTTTCTTTTTGTTTACTTTTGGAGGTTTTGTATGTTTGTTTTGGTTTTAGTTGTTTATTTGTTTCTGGCCTATACTTGTTTAAGGGATGGATACATAGGTTTACTTCTCCATCATGCATGAAGGTTTCCACATACCACTTCCCTTCTTCTCTTTCACCCCAGCTATCAGACCTTTTATGTGTAAGAACTAAATCCCTGAGTTTTCTTGATGTTCTGCACCAGATTTTGGGTTTGCTCATGTTTACTTAAAAGTTTTGTCTGATACCGGAAATCTGCTTGTTTTCTCCATTTGCATTTCATAAGTGCATTTCTTGTCTGGGAAGGATAACGAGGTCATTTGTTTTGCAATGACATCACTGTACAGGTCTCACACAGAACACGTCTCATTTGTGTTGCACTGTTTTGCTAGTGCCTGGCTGAGACAGGTGCCTAAAAGGAGGAACTGGTAAAAATTCAGCTGGACTAGATGGAAATTAAGGTGGCAGATCAGGGAAATCATCTTCAGGAGATGGCAGGTGTAATATTCATGCTTTTGAAAGGTATATCCATACAAGACTGGAGCACAAGTCCTATGAGGAGAGGCTGAGAGAGCTGGGGTTGTTCAGTCTGGAGAAGAGAAGGCTTAGAGGCGACCTCATCACTCTCTTCAACTACCTGAAGGGAGGTTATAGCCAGGTGGGGGTTGGTCTCTTCTCCCAGGCAACCAACAATAGGACAAGGGGACATGGGCTCAAGCTCTGCCAGGGGAGGTTTAGGTTAGATGTTAGGAAGAAATTCTTTACAGAGAGGGTTATCAGGCATTGGAACGGCCTACCCAGAGAGGTGGTGGATTCACCATCCCTGGAGGTTTTTAAAAAGAGATTGGACGTGGCCCTTAGTGCCATGATATAGTAATTGGAGTTGGATCAGGGGTTGGACTTGATGATCTTGGAGGTCTTTTCCAACCCAATCTATTCTGTGATTCTGTGATTCTGTGAAGTTTTAAAGTGGTAATATCTTAATATAATTTTTTACTGGCCCTCAGAGTATAGTACTATAAGGAATTAATACCATTAAAGATCATTTGGCACTTAGAAGCTTCCAGTGAGAAGTGCTTGGATGAGAATTCATTAATGTTCTGGAGTACAGGGTACATGATGACCATGTTCCTCATTCTCCTGTCAGGTCCATATTTCCTGAGACTGTGTAAGTTGTTAGCTTCTTTTCTCTCTGGAGATGGGGATTGAATAGTACTTCATTTTCTTTCCATCTTTTTAACCAAAGTTCTGCTTGGACCCCAAGAAAGACTATGCATTGCCATTTATCAACAGGTAATCTCTAGTATTTGCTTTTCTAATACTTGGTACTGTTTGCTGGCTTCCAGAGCACGCTTTGGTGTGCATACATTAACTCAGGGCATTTCTGGGGTTGAAGCATGCAATGATTTTTTGCTTTTCTTTTGAGACATGAAATCTGTTACAAGTTGGCTACATCAAATTTACCACTTTTCTGTAGATAGCAAGCTCATAGAAGAGCTCTTGAATTCCATGGGCTCATTTGCTTTTTCATTACCAGTTCTAGCGGATTTCCTTTTAAACTAAACAACCTAAAAAAGGCATTTTTCTTTCAAATGAAATACTGTTAGAAGTGCCAATATACTCTTGTGAGTCATACACACTGTATGTTCAGTTCTTTTCAGTATTCATCATATTTGTCTTGCAGTTTCATAGGACTTCCATATACATAGCACTCGGTGGTAGAAAGTACAGGGGTGAGGTAAGTTAGCTGATCTTGAGAGAGAAGATTACCTAAGATATAGTTGTTTTTTTTTCTTCTATGCAGCAACTTAAATTTGGTAAGAGCATTTTGTTTGCTTTAACTCCAAACAAAAAGCCAGCAGAAGATGAGTGAAATCCCAATTTTATTCTTACTCAGCTTTGTATACATCCTGTGACTGATTTGGGAAAATGACCCACGTTTTAGTTAATCTGAAAAAAAAGGTTAGTGCTTTAGGTTTGCAAGTTTTGTGGCACTACACCCTCCTTCATTTTAGCAGGTATTAAAAATACAAATATTCAAAAGCTTAACTATTTGGATGGAGAAGGCTTATTAAGATTTAAGGATGTTTATCCAGCTGTGGTACATAGTGTGATTTGCTCTGACTTTTTTTTTTTTTTTGTATGGGAAGAAAATAAACCTTAGTAATGACTACAGCTGGGTTTTAAGCTATAAGGAGGGGTTTGTTCATAGGAAAATTGGAGATAAAAATTGTTTTTGTTTGACCCTATCCAAGTGAAATTATTTTTAGTTTTTTCCTGCAAACCATGAATTTTGTAGCAGCATCAGTAGAGGACAGTATCTAGACAGTAGTGTATGGAGCTGGAAGTGCAGATGGGTTTCTCCTGGTGTGCAATCCCTGTTTGGGCCCAATACTAAAGAACAGCCCAAGTTATTTAGCTGCACATCTCTGGGAGATATAACCCAACCAGATTTCTGGCAGCCCCCAGTCATGGAGCACTTGAACTGTTTTGGGAAAACACTGCAACGAATTAAAGCTTTCAGAGGGGTGGACTTACGTGACTTCTCATCATTTTTTTAAATCCCATTTTTGATGACTCTGTGGTCATTTCAGTTTTGCTATGCTTTATTAAAATGGTTGTACACTTTCAGCTTTTTCCGTGATTTTTTTACTAGTTTTCTGTGCAAAAGATTTTTTCAGATTGATACTTCTGCTTGTTTGTGTGACATTATTATGCCATGACCGTATTCTTTCTTCTAAACAGCGAATTAATCTTTATTCACTACTGTGCCAACTTTACACTGCTACAGGATTGTTTCAAAGCTAAAACCAGATTTACTGACATGTTGAGATCTTCTTTAAATTAATCACATTCCTGTGACCTACAAGAAAGATGGAGAGGGATATTTTACAAGGGTATGTAGTGATAGAACAAGGAGTAATGACTTTAAACTGAAAGAGTGTAGGTTTAAATTAGTTATTAGGCAGAAATTCTTTACTGTAAGGGTGATGAGACACTGGAACAGGTTGCACAGAGAAGTTGTGGTTGTCCCATCCTTGGAAGTGTTCAAGGCCAGGTTGGATGAGGCCCTGACCAACCTGGTGCGGTGGAGCGTTTCCCTGCCTATGTCAGGGAGTTTGGATCTGAGTGACCTTTAAGGTCCCTTTCAACCCAAGTTATTCTGTGGTCCTGTGATTCGTGAAAATAACCAACCTTTCTGAGGATGTAATCTTATTTTTATGCTGTTTTGTATTTTTTTGTCCACAAAAACATTATTTTATGAGAGAACAATTAATATTCTTCTTCAACCATACTACATAATTTTTTCTTTTCCAAGAATTAAGGTAGGAAGCAATGGGAAGTGTAGCAGTTGTTTCATGCAGGTAAGTGTCAAGTCAGCAAAGTGGTTAAACAACTTTCCTGTTTGAGGAGAGGTGGGGTTTTTTTAGAATTGTTTTAATTTATTTGTTTTAACTGTGCACCAGAGTTTAATGTAATGCTGATCTGAATCACTTTTTTTTCCTGCTCTGTCTTTTAGCTTTTTCTTTTTGTGGTCTGGAACTTTGAGCTCTACATGATACCACTGGCTTTGTTGTTGCTGCTGGCATGGAACTACTTCTTGATCGTATCAGGGAAAGATAATAGGCAACATAATACAGTAAGTCTTCTCTACTTCAAGGGCGTACATGTCCTTTTCTTTTTTTAGTTGGGCAAAATTTTTAAACAGAATTTAAATATTACATCTTTTTGAGGATCATTTGAAACAAGACAGTTTCAGACTGGAATGTATGCAGCTTTTCTAGCAAACTTTTTTGCCTTAAGAATTGTCGAGCCATGAAAGAGGTAACCCAGGAAAGTGCAGTAGCTGTTGGAAGTTTTCAGGACCTGGCTGGGTAGAGCTTTGAGGAACCTGATCTGACCTCATGGCTGAGCCTGCTTTAAGCAGGGGTTTGGAGATCTCTTCCAGCCTGAGTGATCCCCTAATGTCTAGCAACTGCAATTATTAGTGACCAGAGGAACCCACACAGCCCTGATTCCAGCACGGTTGTTACCTGTCCACATCACTGAGACTGTTGTGCTTTCAAGGGTCATCTAAAATTAAGGGTGGGATTGATAGAGGTATTTCCTAATCCCAGATGTTGTTACCTGTATGGAAAAAAGCCTAAGATCGAGATTTAAAAGATGCAATACTTAAAATACAGATGCTAGTCTCCCGTTACCTGAAATACTTAAGGCTTTTCAACCTGAAGATTTCTTAGTAACCAAAATGAGAAAGGAGAGATTTCACTTGTGAGCTGTAATACACCTGATTTCTCTCTGAAATACCACCTGCCTGTGAAGATTAATTGGGTTATGTAACTTTTCTAATGAAGCTAGTATGGACTCTCTGTTGAGAACACTAAATGATGCTCAAAAAATGTTCGTCCTGCTGAGAGTGCTTCTGACCAAGCTATATATTAAGCAACTATGTAGATCCCAAATCTCTGATATCTGTACCATTAATGACTGCTTTTTCTTTATGTTTATCACAAGTAAGTTGGGACCTTGGTTTTAATGATTTGAGTTTGGTTATCCTCATGTTGAGCATCTGGCTTTTATGAAGTCTTCCACAGACTTACTGGATGCCTTTCTAATTAACTCATGATCTTCAGTAATATCTCGAGTCCTTAGCTCAGGTCATTAGCACAGTGTCATTAGAATAGTAGTAATTTAAATATTTCTGTTTTCCTATGCAGAGTGTAAATATTAAGTAAATTAATTAAGTTTCCTAGTGGTTAGAGAATGCTTCAGCATTCACATGATCTGGCTTCTGTTCCCAAGTTTCAAGATTCCTTGTGGGCCTCAGTAAAATCATTGACTATTTTCTGAGGAGTATCATCTGTCTCTAAAAGTTACTCTGAAATCCTAAAGTTAATTATAAAGATAAATGTATTTGTGAACTTCACTTAATTAACATTAGACAAGCATAGTTAAAAATTGAGTATAGTTGTCTAAGTTTTATTTGGCTCCCCACCAAGTCCCCAGACCCAGCGCAAAAACATCCGGCAAAGAGCAAAGAAAAAAAACTATGAAAATTCCAGACTAACCAAGCTATATTAAAATAAATGTATTTAAGTATATTACAGTTATATACAGTTGAAATACTATATACAATCCCAAAAGAGAAAGAGAAAGGAAGGGGAAGGGTAAAAAACAAAAAAAACAAAACAGATACACACAATCAAAAAACAAGAAAAACCTCAGGATTTAGCAACTAAAGAATTAGCAAAAGAATATCTTACTACTTTCTTTGGGATAGCACAGTCACCCAAATGCCACCGCCACGCTACCGGACTCCGGATCAGCAGGAACAACCGGCCCCGTAGGCCCAACCAGGCCTCAATTCCCCCACAGAAGCGTCACCGGCTGTGGGGAATCTGCTGTCTCCAAACCTCACTGGAAGGGGAGAGAGGAAGAGGCTTCTCTCTCCGTCTGTTTATATGTTTGGATTGCATAAAGGAATAGGATAGAATACTTCCTTCCTGACGACCGGGAAGGAAGGGCTAAACTCAAAACCATTACAATAGTTTGTACTTTTTTAATGTCTATGGAACATACTTAAATTTGGGATCATCAAAAGTAGCTTGGAAAAGTTGGTTTCCATTACAGTATCCCATGAGAAAGCAATTGTCAGTTGTCTCTTCAGTTTGGGCTCTAGGAACCACATTCTTCTGTAGGTCAGTGATTAGTTATCAGAGTTTCTGTCTGGATATGGCAGAAAGACCAGCTTTAACTCATCCTTGTTTGACCATCCCTATAGACAAGGTATCATTTGCTATCTCCTCTTGGGCATCAGTTTTTTTGAAGCAGTTTGAAATTTATTTCCTTGTGGAATAATTTACCTGCCAAACAAGGATGTGGGTTACTCTGTCATAGAATGAACCTATGCTTCCTGTTTGAGTACGATTATTTTGTCATTTACGCTGACTCCTTATAAGTTATATGTGCGAGTCCTTTCTTGAATTCAAGTTCTACTAAGACTGGGGCAAGGGGGAATCCCAAGTGTATTTACCAGTAGGAGATAAGTGTATTGGAATGCCCAACAGAGAGGTGAAACAGCATATTAGGCATTGCTGCCTTTATAGATTCAGGTGGACTCTTTGTAGGATTGATGATCATTGTGGTTTTAGTCCAACACTGACACCAACTTCAAAAAGAACTGTTGGATTCCCTATCTTTCATACATTTAGATCAAGATGAGTTGTGTTTCTGAAGGATATGCTTTCATGAAATATAAACCCTGGCATTAAACTTTGGTGTAAGTAACTGTAGATAGATATAGATTTAATGGATGGTTCTCTAAATGAATCTGTGAGAATTCAGGACTGAACCAAAACAATGAGCTTCATGTGGTAGATATAAAAAATCAGATTTAAATATTTCCTGCCAGTATTAAGTGAGGAAAAACTATCACTAGAATGGAATTCCTAATCCCTTCCTCTGAATTTTGCATTTTTGCTTGAAGTATAACCAGCTTCTTTCCCCAAGGATCCTTGTTCTTCCTTATAATCATACCAGTGGGGGTCAAAAACTAAGTGATCCCAGATATGGGGTAAAAAACTGAAATGCTTTATTGAACACACACTTTGCAATATAAGGGTCTTGGGGGCAGGACATGTTAATGAGGAGGATGAGCCATGTTAATTAGGGAATTACACAAGTTTTTACTACTGTTGCCGAATGGGTTAATATTTCCCTCAACCAGGATTACATAGGGAGAAAGGGATTAAAGGGCCTAGACATGGTCTGGTAAAATCATTTCAAAAGTCCTTACTTATTTCTGCTGCAGGAGCCAGGCTAAATCCATAGGTTGACTCTTTAACAAGTCTTGTGAAAAGGATTCTTGTCAGCCACTGTTGCCCAAGGTTTATGTCTCTTTTCTGCAGATACTATATTTTGGGATCCTACACATAGTCCTTAATATCTGACCTCACAAAATAATTTATTTTTAGCACAACTGCTGTTCCACTATTAAACCATAATCACCTAAACATACAAAACTAGAAGTGAGTGAATCCTACTTGTTTGGTTTTATTTTCTTCCGCTGCCTTTTTTCCGTCATCTTTTTCACATCCTCTGTGAAAGAATTATCAACCATTGCCATGTTTCTGTCCCCACTGCCTGCTACTTCTTGTCATCTGCTCTGGATCTGTGTGGTGGGGAGCAACATGGAAGTACTACCCCTACACATTGCCAGCTCTTTACCCTGTAGAAGGTGCAGGGTACAGAGCATGACATGGTGACAGACTGCAAGCTAACAGAAAATGTGCCAGGGTTTAAAGCTTATTTTCAGTATTTTTAAGAATCTACTTAATATTTTGAAGATTCCAAATATATTGTACAAAAAACCTCCCTCACCTTTGTAGCCTGGAGAAAACACCAGTGCTGCTGTCTGGTATCTGGAGTCTTTTCCTACTTCTAAGCAAAATTCATAGTCAGAACTGCATTAAGTTAATGGGGGGAAAAAATTCTTTTTTAATTTACTCCTGCATTGCTACGTCAGGCTGCATTTTGTGTGTTCTGACTGCCTGCTGGAGCTGTCTAACTTAAAGAATAGTCAGATAATCCCTCAGAATGTTCCCTCTCTCCAGCTCTTCATGGCTATGGATCGTTTTTACCCTGTGTACGTAGGCCTGGATGCTACAATTTGGACAAATCACGACAGTCTCTCAGGTGTTGGGCTGTAATACTTAACAGCTGTAACAGGTACACTGGATCTCCTCTGATAACAGATTCTTGTTCTTCCATGCAAATTCTTGCTCTTCCATGACCAGATAGGGAGCAGACAGGGACCCCAGATCATCTTCTCCTGCATACTGTCATTGACGAGGAAGGGCTGGAAGAGGACTGGACAAATCTGGGAGGACAACAACCACTTGCAAAGCTTTTACTGACAGCAGGGACTTGGTTTTTACAACTGTGGTATCCTCCTTGGGGATTGAGAACTGCTAGGAAGAGATCCACCTCACCACTTGGGGCAAAATCTTCTTTGTCAGATGGTTGTCCAACCTAATGAGTAGAGCATTAAACTGAAAATAAAGGGAGAGGATGATGATGACCTACAGTCAAATGAGGAATCACAGAATAGATTGATTTGGAAGGGACTTTCAGAGGGACACCTTCTACCAGACTAGGTTGTTCAAAGTCTTGTCCAACCTGACCTTGAACTCTGCCAGAGATGAGGCATTCACAACTTCTCTGGTCAACCTGTGCCAGTGCCTTACCACCCTCACAGTGAAGAATTTCTTCCCAATATCTAATCTGCCTTCTGTCAGTTTGAAACTATTATCCCTTGTACTAACAAGAAAGTGGTAGTCTGAGTTGGCAAGCAAAGGGTGCAGGATGAATGGACAGGAGAGCCCTCAAAACCAACCCAACAAGACAGAAGGTCTCCACTGCAGGTGTGGGCACACAAATGCCTCTGGAAGAGGCTCTCACGCCCTCTCTGAGAACCCAGCATGCCAGAGGTCTCTCCCTGACGTGCGTGTACATTGGTGTGTACAGCATAGGAACCAGTAGGAGTTAGGGGTCCATGTGCAGCTACATTCATGCATGATCGCAGGGATGTGGTGAAATTGTTCTCATGTCTATCGTGCAGTGGATGTACACTGGCTTTTT